GTGACTTCACCCAAGCTTCATCATAAATTGGATGTTTGTTTTTGCTTCAATTTTAGCAGAATCCATGTTGCTCTCTTGGGGCTCTTTTCAAACTGATGTCTTATTCTTCTTGGTGCCTCAGACTAGATCCTGTGCAAATGTGTTGTAACACATCAGCGTGGGTTTATTTTGGTGTAAAACAAATGACCGCAACAGCCGGAGCTGGACCTATCTGAAACTGGGAACTAGGAGCTTTTTCCAGGTCTTCCACACAGGTGCAGGGGGCCAAGCACTTGGGTCGTCTTCTGCTTTCCTAGGCCATAGCAGAGAGCTGGATCGGAAGAGGAGCAGCCGGGACTACCACCAGTGCCCATATGGGATGCCGGCACTGCAGGCAGAGGCTTAACCTACTGTGCCATAGCGCCCACCCCAGTGTATAGTTTATTCATAGCATTCATTTCCCACGAATCTTTTGAAGACATCTCGTGTTACCTGATTTAAAAAAAGGGGAAAAAAAAAAGAGTTTAAGAGTTCTTCCTTCTGAAAATGGACCCTAAAAAATGGAAAGCGTTGTGTAATGTGTCAGTCGCTTTCCCATTTCTTTAAGGCATGGGTCCTTCTACACACCATGAGTGGGTCTCACTTCTCTGCCTTCTTGTCTTTCTCCAAGACTTTCCTGTATCCTCAGCACCCTGTCCAGCCCCGGGCCAGGGGCATTCTGATAGGATTCAGATTCATCCACTTTTTTTTTTTGACAGACAGAGTGGGCAGTGAGAGAGAGAGAGACAGAGAGAAAGGTCTTCCTTTGCCGTTGGTTCACCCTCCAATGGCTGCCGCGGCCAGCACCGCACCGATCCGATGGCAGGAACCAGGTACTTCTCCTGGTCTCCCATGGGGTGCAGGGCCCAAGGACTTGTGCCATCCTCCACTGCACTCCCTGGCCACAGCAGAGAGCTGGCCTGGAAGAGGGGCAACCGGGACAGAATCTGGCGCCCCGACCGGGACTAGAACCTGGTGTGCCGGTGCCACAAGGCGGAGGATTAACCTAGTGAGCCGCGGTGCCGGCCAGATTCATCCACTTTTAAGCATGAGGCACAGAGGTAGCCTCAAACCCTGAAAGTTGTTGCATTTGTGTAGCAAATTTCAACAGCTTACTCTTGTCAATTTGGTATCTACAAGTGGCTGAAGCATCTTGCTGTTTCTGAACTCTCGAGGTTGTCCCTCCTTTTGTGTCCTCTGTAAACCAAAGGCTGTCCTGATGACCTCCCGAGCCTCCACCCCGTGCCCTGCCCATCCCCACTGTGCAGATGGAGGGAGTCTGGGGGATGCCTTCATGAAATCTTGTGGACTGCTGTGCGTTCTGCAGCATTTGAAACTTTCTGCCCGGGGCTTCCTAGGCCGTTTGGTTTTAGGAGAAGAGAGCATTTTCCCTCATTAAGTTAACCACTGGACAGTGATCGCTTTTGAAAGCTGCTGCACAGGTCCCATGGCCTCTCGTCTTTACCCACTTAACTCTTCCCTTGGCTTGGTCAGGAGTTTCTGAGGGACTTGGTGAGAAAGCTGATTGTTGGAGGGCATTTTGGATGCATTATGGGATGGGCCCATGGTGTGAGGTTTGTGGACAGAGTTCAAAACCTTTAACTAAAGGGATGCAAGGCCTGGAGGCTAGCAGGCAGGGGGGAGATGTAGAAGAAGCTTCCAGAAGGCCCAGCTCCTCCAGCACCTGTGTTAGGCAAGCGGGAGGAATTTCCTGGACACGCCAGGCCCCCGGGCTGCCCACGAGGACAGAGCTTGTGACCCTCCACCCGGCAGATGACCAGGAAATGACTGGAGCAAGGTGATAGCCATCTCTTTTCCACCTGCCGCAATGCAACAGTGTCCCAAGAGTGTCCGTGGCTGAGTCAGCTCCGGGAGGCAGGGAGTGACCCCTTGCCCCTCTTGCAGCAACTCCTGCCCCGCAGCGGCATGCAGTCTGCCTCCAGGCGTGACACAGACTGCTCCTCCTGGTAGCCACACGGCAAAAGGAGTTTGGGGGCCCCCAGAGAGGACAGAGAGGCCCTAAGTCAGGAAACAGGCAGGGTGTTTGCCCGCAGAACCTTAGCAGAAGGAAGAGGACTCGGTTGTTTCCCGCTCTGGCTGCTGCAGGAGGTACAGACAGACTCCCCGGGTTCTGGTTCTGCCCCTCAGTGCCTCTGTGACAGACCCTGGGTGAATTAACCTGCCAACTGGGAGCAGAGTAGCCCAGAACAAGGCAGAGGTGCCTGAGTAGTGTCCATCCAGGTGCCTGGCATGCAGCCCCCATGGGCTCCCGTTGTTAGAGGGGACCCTCCCCTGGATCCCAGTCCCCCGCCACCATCACAGGCCCAGGCAAGTGCGGCTTCACAGACCTTGCATTGCTGTTGGGGGAAGGGGCCCAGCACCCAGCGTTCTGGATTCCTTGGGTTCTAACCTCGCATCTGTCACTGGTCTATAAATGAACACAGCAATGTTTTCCAAAGCAGATGCGCTGGGGTGACTTGAAGCCTGGCAGCTGGCAGCTCTTTCCTCCCACCTCACCCCTGTGAGCCTTCCTGCCACCCCCACTTCTCCCTCCCCTCCCGCTCCCCTCCAGGGGTGGCTCAGGTGTGTGCCTTTCCCCTGTCGTTTTCACTGTGCTGTGGTGATTCAGAAAATAGCCCTTCTGCTCAATGAGCCGCATTCCTGGCTGGCTACGCCCAGCGGCCGGCTGCTCCTTGTTGTCAGGCTCCCTCGGCCTCAGCACCCACTGGGCCAGCTCCACGCTGCTCCCTTTGGGCCGGCAGAGCAACGTGGGAGGGCCTGTGCGGGGGTCAGTAAGTCAAAGAGGCCCTCGCCCGCACCTGGGGTTCTCTGAGCCTTGTCCCCTCCGTCCACTCCTGCCCGCTAGCATGTGCTCATGTCCTAATGCTTTCTGCCTACCCAGAGTCTGCACCACCGTCCCATTTTCCTTCACGTAGACCCTCTGCCATCTCCTTCTTTTCCTGCCTCTTCCCTTGTGTGCGGGCTCCCTGCCCGCAGCAGCCCGGCACGCCTGCCTCCCCATCTCTTCTGTCCCTGCCCTCGGATGGAGGGGAGTGGGTTCTGTGACCACGTGGCAGTGGTTCTGAGGACACTGGGCCAGCCCAGTGCATTTGGGGGATCTGAACTATGTTTCCTTGAGAGAGCCTTTCATTGGGCTGGCAGGCAGGTGTGGGTTTGCATCTGGTGTTGCCACCCACGCTGGCCACTGACCGGCCCCCAGCTCAGGTCCGAGGGCGCTTCTGGCAGCACAGCTCCTGGGTCCCTGTCTGTTTTCCTTCAGCCTCACTGTGTTCAGTTTCTCAGGTGGGGGAAAGCTTGGTGAGCAGGAAGCGTTTTTGGTTTCAAGTAAATCTTGTTTGTCATTCCTGGAAGTTAGCAATACAGGAATGACAAAAGCCACATGCGCTGTGCAGGCGCTGGGCGAGTGTGGCGGTTAGTGGATGATGGAGTCAGCCAGATACATGTCTCCTGCCCTGCTCTTTTTTTAGTGTTTTTTTTTTTTTTTAAGATTTATTTATTTTTTTACTTCAAAGTCAGAGTTACACACAGAGAAGGAGAGGCAGAGAGAGAGAGAGAGAGGTCTTCCATCTGTTGGTTTACTCCCCAAATGGCCACAACAGCCAGAGCTGTGCTGATCCGAAGTCAGGAGCCAGGGGCCCAAGGAATTGGGCCACCTTCCACTGCTTTCCCAGGCCATAGCAGAGAGCTGGATCGGAAGTGGAGCATTCGGGTCTCGAACCGGCACCCATTTGGGATGCCGGCACTGCAGGCGGTGGCTCCACCCACTACACCATAGCGCCGGCCCCCCCTGTCCTGCTCTTGACCACACTCTCCATCCCCTCTGCGAGGGGTGCAGGGCGACCACACAGGGCTACAGCCGCCCTGGGAGTGGGTCACTAACCCTCGCGATGGCATCCCTCTTATGGAATTTCCTCAGGAGAAGCTCCCTGGCCCTATCCTCCCCTGACCCCTAACCCACAGGAGAAGCCTGCACGTCCATCAGCTTCATCAGTTCCCCATGGTCGACACGGAGGTTTCCCAGATGAGGCCCCCGTGCAGCACGCGCTGTGGATGTTCCTGCTGGGAGGAGTTTGCGGGCGCTCGGAGACGGCAGTGATGAGCTCAGCCCTGCGTCAGTCGTGTCGGGACCAGGGTGGCAGGAGTCAGGGGCTGCTGCCTTCCCTCCGCTGTGCCGTTCAGACCAGGTTGCGTGACGCTCTCACGCCCACGCGTCACATACCGTCGTGTCCTTTTCTCCCCGTTGCATCTGAAGGAAGAACGGGATTAGTGCCATCCACTGAAAATGTAGCGTGACCACAGAGCTAGCTGGAGTTTTTCCAGTAGCTGCTTTACTGAAACAAGCCAAGTTCATTTTAAAGACACACTCGGCCCAGTAAGTCCCCAAGTATTACCACTTCCATCTGTGATCGATATGAATCAGTCAGCAGAGGGATGCTTCATGGCTGGCCGTGGTGTGTGTTTCCCACTTACGGCTTGGGACTAAGCCACACCTTGGGTGCAGCAAGGCAGCTGTCACTGGGAACAGCGGGTCCCTCGACCGCTTTATGAGAGTCCTGAGACCTCAGCCCGGTCTGTCTGGGTCCGCAGCTTCCGTCCACCCTCCTTCACCCTTGTGGGTTTTCTCACTGGACTCACTGGACTTACACGTCAGGACTAAAGGGAGGTCATCAGACTGGGGTCATTTGTAAGACCTGGTTTGTTCCGATAGCATTGCCCTCGCTCAGTAAGTGCTTCATAGAGACAGCACAGGCTCTTCCCAGCGGGCGCACACAGGCCTGGCTGCTCTGGGCACCTGCAGGCAGGATGAGACAGAGGCACACTCCCCAAGGTTCCGCTTGGCCTTGCCGGTCCTCAGACCCAGAGCCGGCGTAGGGGGGTGGGCAGGGGGATTTCTCTGTGGGTAGAGATGAAGAAATAAATCCAGCCATAAATCAAGACTTTATCTTTGTCTTTTCATTTAGTGGAATAGAAGATGAACTCAGCTGAATTCAGTGAAGATGTAGAAGAAGGTAAAAAAAAAAAAAATGTACATGCCTTTTTTAAAAAAATAAAACCCATTTCGAATGCCATGTTTTTGATTAGGTCATCCATGCACGTGACATGGTCAGAATATGTACAGGCGTGTGATGACCAGTCTCCTCCCAGCCCTGGAACCATGCACCTGTTACCAGCACCTTGTGCATCTCTCTCGAGTTACTTTTTAAAAGCACAAATAAGATTCGGCTCAGTCCCTTCCCTTCCCCTCCCCTCCCCTCCCCTCCCCTCCCCTCCCCCAAAAGACTTTTCAACTGAGTTTGAACCAGATGTTCTGGAAACCTAGTTTTGTTATGCAGCTCCGGGAGAAGAGGAAAGGGTGTCGTTGGAAAGCACAGGTTTCGTAGAAGTCCTCACGGGAGCGACAGCAGCCACAGCCCCTTGTCACCCAGGGACTCCTACTGAGCTCCGGGCGGCCCTGGTGTTGTCCCCCTGAGTCCTCTTTCTTCTCTGCCGCAGTTCTGAAAAATAACACTGTGAAGGTGGAGACCGAGGCCGAAGATGCTGCCCTGGACTGCTCAGTGAGCGCCAGGACTTCTGAGAAGCACCCTCTGGACAGCGTCTTCACTGCCCTCCAGGACGCCGGCAAACGCAAGCAGCCCGACTCAGTCCCCAGCGCCAAGAGGCGGCGGCTGATCCCCGAGGTGAGGGCCCGGCTCCTTCTGCCCTCCGCTCCGGCGCTAAGCTTCTCTGGGTTGGGGCATCAGGGCAGCTGCTGAGCCCTGGGGCGCGAGCGGCGTTCGCTTCGCGCTGCCCTGTGATGGCTCCGGTCTCTAGAGGGTGTCTTTCGCTGGAAGTCCTGTCTGTGTCTGCATTCCTTGTGGGGTGAGGGGAGTCTCCGTGCAGCCACTTTGGAGTTTGGTTTTCCTGGTCTCTGCAGGGGGAAGTGAGCACATGATGATAGCAATGACGGTTGATGCGAGCCCGCTCGGCTCTCCATGGAGCCCAACTCCTGGGAGCGCTGGGGGCTGGCAGCCCTTCTCGGAAGTTAAATCCATTTTTCGATGCATCCGGGAGCTTGTTCCCTACAGGAGCCTTAGTGAATATTTTTGTGAAGTGAGGAATTCTTTCATATTGTACCTGTTAACCCCTAAGCTATATAATTTTTTTTAAAAAAATTTGCTTTATTTCTTAACCACGTGCTGGTTATGTGGGATTTGGCTGACTACTGAGAGTAGAAAATGCCAGCGGGCGTGGTGGTCCCTGCCAGCAACCTCCAGTCTGGGTGGGAGACAAGACAGGACACACAGCAGTTGGGGCTTTCAGGGGCCGGCCGGCATGCCAGCCGGTTGGCTGAAGACACGGTCAGGCGTTACTGCTTAACTCCTGGTGTAGCGGTTTCCCAAGTCTAGTGCGCCTCCACTGTGCCCTCTGCAGCACTCTGGAGACACAGATCAGCGCTGTTCAGCAGGGCCCAGGTTGTCAAGGCTCATTGTCATTAGCCTGAGCCCACTGGGGTTTCGGCCTGGGACCCTCTCGGATTTTATCGGTTAGGTTCTCTGCCGATGTGAGGGCAGATCCATAAACACTGCGCATTTGTGCATTTGGCGATCCTGGTTAGGCTTCATTCAGTAAAATGTATCCGTCACCTTCATTAGCATAATGAGAGTAATATTTTCACCAGGATTTAAATATGCGTGCTTATATTGCATGCGGTCCTACCTTCTACGTCAGGACTGTTGAGTGATAGGCGTGCGTATCTCATCTTGTTTATTTGGGTGTTTTGGGATATCATTCCTGTAACATGCAGTATGCCGATTTGAATTGTACAGCTCAGCGGGCTTGGTGTGTTCACAGAGGAGAAGCGTGAACACTGTCCATTTTCCAGCGTGTGCAGACCCCACAGAGAAGCCCTTACCCCCGAGCAGGCGCTTCTAACAGCGACCTCTGCTCCACTTCCCCTCTCTCTGTGGGTTGGCCTGTTCTGGACATCGCGTGTAAATGGAATCGGCCGCTCTGTGGCCCTTTGAGTCTGGCTTCTTTCACTCAGCACGGTGATTGCAAGGTTCATCCTTACTGTAGCATGTATTGGTATGTCATTCCTTTCTATCTGTTGTAGTAGGCTTTGTTTTTCAAGCAAGTGCAACATGTAAAAGGTGCAGACTTCTCTGTCACTGGCCTCTACACCTGTTCTGCCCCCATCCACTCCCCAGCCATTGTCGCCCAGAGTCCCTCCATTGCGCTAGGATGTGCTCTGGGTGTTAGGTAGTCTGTGGGTTTGGACAAATGGATGATGACATGTGTCTGCCATTGGAGTGCACCGAGTAGTTTCACTGCCCTGTGGTAGTTTCGCCGCTGCACCCACCTGGCCCCTGACCACCACTGGTCTCTTTACAGCCCACAGTTCTGCCTTTTCCAAGATGTCCTGATTGGAATCGTACAGCGCATAGCCTTTCCAGATTGGCTTCATGCATTTAGCAATATGCACTTAAGTTTTCTCCACTCCTGCTCATGGCTTCATAGCTCATTTCCTTTTAGTGCTGACTCACAGTCCATTGTCTAGACAGACTACATTTATACGTTCACATGCTGAAGGACACCTTGGTTACTTCCAGGTTTTGGCAATTATTAATAAAGCTGCCGAGAATGTCCACGTGTAGAGCGTGTGTGCATCCAGTTTGTAACACCTTTGGGTAAATACCAAGAAGTGTAATGACTAGATCAAAGGTAAGAGTATGTTTAGTTCTGTTGGAAACCACCACATACTGTGACTCCACCCACTGAAAGAGAGTTCCTGTTGTAATTGGAGGAGGCTTCAGCACTCTTCCGTTGGGAATGGACTGATCCAACAGGCAGAAGATGCATTGGGACATAGTTGGGCCCAGCAGCACTGTCAACTGGATAGAACTGACATCTGTAGACTACTTCACCCAATGACAGCAGAATATGCATTCTTCCAAACTTACCTGGAATATTCATCAAGATAGAACACATTGTGGAGAGAGCAGGAAGGCGAATGGGAGGGAGGGAGGTTGGGGAGGAAGGGGGAGAGAGAGAGAGAGAGCGAGCGGGCCCCCATCTATCTGCCAGTTCACTCCCCAAATGCCTGCAACAACCAGGGCTGGGCCAGACCAAAGCCAGGAGCCAGGAGCTTCATCTGGATCTCCCATGTGGGTGGCAGGGCCCCAAACTCTTGGACCATCCTCCACTGCTTTCCCCGGGCCATTAGCAGGGAGCTGGATCGGAAGTAGAGCAGCCAGGATACAAAACAGCATCTACTGGAAATACATGTATTACCGGTGGCGTCTTAACCCACTATTCCACAGCGCCAACCCCTCATTCTCTTTTGAAAGATAACTTTGTAGGGCACAAAAATCTAGGTTGATAGCTTTTTTCCTAGCACACTTTATCTGTTTCACTCCACCATCCTGCTTTCATGGTGTCTGCAGAGAAGCTGGGTGTAATTCTTGTTGCTGCTCCTCTATGAGTAAGGTTCCCCCACCCCCAGGTCTGTCTTCTTGCAGGGTTTTTCTCATCTTTGGTCTTCTTTAGTTTGAAATTGATATTTCTAGGTTTTTGGCATTTATCTTGCTTGGTGTTCTCCAAGCTTCCTGGATGTATGGTTTGGTGTCTTGACATTAATTTGGGATATTTTTGGTCATCATGGTATCCAATATTTCTTCTGTTCCTTTCACTCTTTCCTCTGCTAGTATTCCTGTTATGTGAATGTTACACCTCGTGTAGTTGTCCATAGTTCTTGGCTATTCTGTTGTGGTTTCTTTTCTTTTTCTTTCTTTTCTTTCTTTTTTTTTTTCTAAGATATATTTATTTGAAAGGCAGAGTGACGGAGAGAGAGGGAGAGACACAGAGACAGAGAGAGATCTTCTATCAGCCATATCACTCCCTAAATGGCTGCAGCTGCTGGGGCCGGGCCAGGCTGTGGCCAGGAGTCTGGTAGCAGGGGTCCAAGGATTCAGGTCATCATCTGCTGCTTTCCCAGCCAGGCACATTAGCAGGGAGCTGGATCAGAAGTGGAGTAGCAGGGATTTGAACTGGTACTCATATGGGATGCCTGTATCGCAAGTAGCAGCTCAAATCCCTGTGCCATAAGCAGGCCCCGTTGTGGTCTTCTTCATTTTTTTCTCTTTACTTTCCAGTTGTGCAATTTCCTTTTGAGATATCACAAAGCTCAGAGATTCTTTCCTTAGTGCTATCCAGCCATCAATAGCCCATCAAAGACATTCTTCATTTCTGTTACAGTGCCATTTACCTCTAGTGTGTCTGTTCATTTCTTAGAATTTCCAGATCTGTGAGCACATTGTCTCTCTGGCTCTTGCATGCTGTCTGCTTTACCCATCAGAGCCCCGAGCATATTCATCATAGCTGTTTCGAACTCTTTGTTTGGCAATTCCCACATTCCTCCCATACTTGAGTCTGATTTGGTCTTAGTATATCTTGCGGGTTCTTTCTAGATAGCCACACCCAACGTGGTGGGTGAAAGGTGCTGCTGTAAGTAGGCCTCTGGCGATGCAGTAGTGATCTGTGGGGGCCGGGGAAGCTCCGCTGAGCTCTGAGTAGGGCTTGGTTGCTCAACACTCCTGCACCTCTGGTAGATGGATTCTGCTGAGTCGCCAGCAGGAAAGGCTCTGGGTACTTTCTCCTGAGGACAAATCTCCTATTATTTATTTTATTTCAAAGTGTGTGAGAGAGAGAGATGGATATTCCATCTGCTGGCCCACAAACAGCTGAGGCTGGGCTGGACCAAAGCTAGGAGCCCAGAACTCCATCCAGGTCTCCAGTGTGAGTGGAAGGAGCCCAAGTACTTGAGCCATCATCTGCTGCCTTCCAGGGTGAGCAGTAGGATTAGAAGCAGGAGCGAGATTTGATCTCAGACACTCCCTTATGGGATGCAGATGTCCCAACCAGTGGATTAACCTGCTGGGCCACAGCACCTGCCCTGGGACCCTTCTTCTTCTTCTTCTTTTTTCTCTCCTCCCCTCCCCTCCCCTCCCCTCCCCTCCCCTCCCCTCCCCTCCCCTCTCCTCTCCTCTCCTCTCTCTTCTTCTTCTTCTCTTTATTTATTTATTTATTTATTTGAAGGCATAGCTACAGAGAGACAGAGGCATGGAGAGAGAGAGAGAGAGAGAGAAAGAGAGGTCTTCCATTTGCTAGTTCACTCCTCAGATGGCTGCAATGGCTGGAGCTGGGCCGATCCAAAGCCAGGAGCCAGAAACTTCTTCTGGGTCTCCACGTGCGTGCAGGGACGCAAGGACTTGGGCCATCTTCTACTGCTTTCCCAGGACATAGCAGAGAGCTGGATAGGCAATGGAGCAGCTGGGTTTCGAACCAGCACCGCACTGCTTGCGGCGGCCTTACCTGCTACACCACGGTTCTGGCCCCCAGGACACATCTTTTTTTTTTTTGCCAGGCAGAGTGGACAGTGAGAAAGAGAGACAGAGAGAGAAAGGTCTTCCTTTTCCATTGGTTCACCCCCCGATGGCTGCTACGGCCGGCGCACCGTGCTGATCTGAAGCCAGGAGCCAGGTGCTTCTCCTGGTCTCCCATGTGGGTGCAGGGCCCAAGGACTTGGGCCATCCTCCACTGCCTTCCTGGGCCACAGCAGAGAGCTGGACAGGAAGATGAGCGACCAGGACAGAATCTGGCGCCCCAACCGGGACTAGAACCCGGGATGCTGGTGCCGCAG